CCACTGGGGCTTCACTTGGCCACATTACCTACTGGAGGAGGCGGCCTGCCCACTCCGCCTTCTGGGGCCACATCTGGCTTGCACAATGGCTCATCCCCAGCCCATTTGTGTCATAGCTCATATCCATGTTCAGCGGTTTCCAAGTTCTTGTTCCACATCCAAGAAGAATGAGGATAATCTGACAACTGAAGGATGAGGATGATGGAGAAGAATTTTATTGAGCGATGAAACAGCTCTCAGAAGACAGGGGACTTGAGAATGGTCACCTACCCTGAGTTGGGTGGTTTCTCTCTCAGTGTGACTGGGTCTGTGACTTTTATAGGAACAGAATTGGAATAAGTGGGCTGTAGGTTGCAATGGAAAAGGTAATATGTGATTGGTTAAAAAGTATTATTCAGAAAGAATCAATCAGAAAAGAGTGGGTAAACAGGAATAGAAGTTCTCTCTCCGGATCACAGATTTCAGGCTGTTGCTGGCTTGAAGGTGGGCTTTCATTGGGGCCTGTCCCTGTCTGCCTAGGATTTGTGTACCTACTGCTGCTCTCACAAGTATGCATTTCTTACCTATTTGCCTTATTCTTTCGGATCCTTTAGGTAAATATAATATTTCTCATATGCAATTAACTGTCTTACTATAAAAATCTTCTTAGTTCATGTAACAGTGTCCTCTCTTATTTCCCTAGGAATATTTATTACACTTATTGTTCTAGTAATCATCTTCATACATTCTGTGTTGCATACTTTGTTGGCTTTTACAGTGTTTGACTTATCGCCTATTTATCTATATCTACCTATTGAAGAGTTAGAAAAGGCATGATACATTTCCTTACCCATAACAATCACAGATGACTTTCCTGTGACAATAACAGTTTAACAAGAGAAAAACATAACAAAATTATTTAATCAAAATTTTACCTGACATGGAAGGATTCAAAAATAAATACCCAAAGATCCTAGGAGAAGTGTCTACTTTATGCTTAGATTAGAGGAAGAAAGAACAGATGTGTAGAAGTGGGATTGGACTAAGTGGTAATAGACTGAGCAGGGATGGCCAGCAAGGCCTGTCTGTTTAGATTATCCTTGACCTCTTTATGTAGCATTCCTTCTTCCTGGGTATAAGGCAAGGATCCTCTGGAATGAGAGTCTTAGGACCCGCCATTGGACAAGGAAGGTCAGAGAATTTCCTTTTGGCCAGTTCCTACACAGAAGGGTAGAGAAATGTTAGAGTAATTTTTCTTTTGCTATGACCTGCCTTTGTGAAGAGGAATACTAGTTTCTATGGTTTGCCTTGGCAGAGAAAGGGGAGCAAGAGAGTTCGGGGCAGGAGTTCAGAGACAGACTTTGCTTCTGAAGCTAATTTTGGGGATTTGCAATCTCTTTCAGTTGAAAGTAGTCAGCATGCCAAAGCTCAATACTCTAGGCTATCATTTTCTGAGCTCTAACACCATTCATCCATTTATCTGCCTGTTTATTCACATATATCACTATCATGATTAGGTTATTGTTTTTATGGGTAAATTGAATTGGGGAAGAGGTAAGCTTGGGCCCTTTTTCTGTCCCTTCAGCTAGTTTAACAAAATACTTAAATTTTAAGTACAGAAATATTTCTATGAAATTCTATCCTAAAGCAAGATGGAAACAGGAATATATAGAGACATATCATGTTGAATGGCTTTCTGGTTACCACTTCCCTGGTAGAGTGTCCCTTGTTTTATGAAACCTAATTTCATAGATAGAACTGACAAATATTTTTCCCTCACCAAATTTTAGTCAGGCTTCTCTGAGCCCTTTGGTTGACTTGGCTCAACTTTGGTCTTCTGTGTCTTTGTAGAATACAGTTTTAGCAAAATCTTGCTAAGTCCTTTTAGTCAAAAGACCTCATCGTTGATATCTAATTACCTTTAACAGTTTAACAAATTACTAATTTTCCACCACCCCCCAGGTAATATTTGATAACTCTAACCTGCCTTCAGCAAGAATTCTGTCAGGTTGGTTTATCCAGAACCTTCCCCTGCTCTTGAAGTTTCCTTTTTTATCCGCCGACCCCAACCCTGCTTTTTGGATATAATTTCCACTTTTCTTTGTTGTGTTCATAGATGAGCACAATGAGCACAATCTCTCCCTCTTACTGCAAAATTTCATTAAGATAGTCCCTATACCTATCATGATGGTCCTGAATAAAAAGTCTGCCTACTGTTTTAAACAAGCATAATAAGTATTTTTTCCTTAACAGTACATATTCTCTAATTCAATGTTTTAAACCAATTCTTATATAAAATTATATTTACAGATAACATAGCATTTTTTAAAGTTAAAGTTCCTTTTCTAATATGATTTGGAAACTTAGCATAACTGAACCTTCAATGTCAAAGACATGAAAATTGCATATAATCTTACATACAAAGCAATCAATTGTTACCTACCATATTTATAGACAATCAATATTCTGAGGCATTTACATCCTAGCGTAACAACATGTTACTTATATGGGTGCTTTATTGTGATTTAATTACATTATAGGACTTTGTAGTTAAGACTATAACATTTTATTTATTTATTCTCATTGAAAGAATGAGAAATAGACTTTCATTGATTGATGCTAGTTAGAAAATTTTTTTATCCCAAATATCTATTTTTTTATCTGCTTGAATCTTTCAAATTTGCCACTTATTATTTGGATTGGTACCAGAGTTTTTAAATATGTACAGTATTTTAAACTGAAGATTTTCATCAAATAATTATGTGAGCTTTGCTCATAAAGAAAGATAATATTGCTTCTTTTCCATTTCAGTTAATTTCAGTTAATATTTTCTTTGATATTCAATGATTGACTGATATTAACCAAGACAGCTTTTTTTGTTCCCTTCAACTTGACTAAGTCTAAGACATGTTTCTTTCTTACTGTAGGCCCCCTAGACCTCTCTTTTCTTAGAAAAGTTGCTATTGCAAACTCTTTCTCTGCCCCTTTCAGATGTAAGTCTTCCTCAACAGAAATGTTTTCTTAAGACACAGGAGCCATCTCTGAAAGGTAATCCTCAAGAAAAATAGCCCCCAATCCCCTAGTCTCTGTGGAAGAGTTAGAAACCAACTTCAATAAGCATCAAGCAGCAAATACTGATGGCCTCATCATATTCACCAACTTTCTCCATAACTTTTTCAACTTTCTCTATAGTTTTTTCACTAGCTCACAAAGCTGCTAAAACCTCTTCCATCCTTTATTTCAAAGTAGAGTAGAAGTTGTCTCCCACATTGCAATGGTCTTGACCATTATTGCAGTAAGTTCCTTGTTGTTTTTAACAAGCGTCCAGTGTAAATTTTTCTTTACACTGCAGGGTCAATGCAGGGTCTGTCCATTTACACATCCTTTAAAGAATTTATAGTATGAAATTAATTTTAAGAACAATGGTACATTTACTAGAAACCAACAGTGAAAAATAATTTCCTGTTTTTATGTTTAAGCCCCAGAGATACAAGTTTTGCTTTGTATTAAGATAGTTTTGCTCCTTCTCTTACTAAACTCTATTATAATTTTGGCTTTATGTGGATCTTGTCAATAACAGCTATTAATTAGTTGTCATGATTTTCAAAATCTCTGATTTGAATGACTGATAGGACATGATGTTTTTAAAAAGAAGCTCAAGAATGAATTACTTTTTGAAAAATCCGGTGAGCACTAAATGAAGCTAAATATTTCTGGCAAAATACAAAAATATGCTTATGACATTATTAATAAAAATATTTTGACTCCTCTCTCAGTAGGCCCAATAAAATAATTTCTTGATGAATTATGGTAGACACGGAAGGACGGAAAATTTTCCACCATGGTTCCAGGATGTTCCTCTTTATCCATCTTGGTGAAATCCAAATTGCCCAAATAATGCCTGGCAATCAGCAAATCAGAAAGAAGTTCTTCCTCTCTGAAACTTTGTGACACCCCCCAATCTGCCTTAATAAAGCCCTAAAAACCATCCCTTCCTCCTTTTCTATCTTAGAATCCTCCTTAAAAGCCTTGTCACCTGGAATGTTTTTGAATAAAAGTTTATTCTAATATTCCTTTATTTGATTTTCTTCCATAAGAGGTATTTCTATGTATTAAATCATTCTTGTAAACTTTGTGTGTGTGTGTGTGTATGTATGTGTGTGTATATATGTGTGTGTGTATATATATATATATATATATAGTTTTACATATATATAATATTTTATGGTATTTTGTTATGGGGTAAAAAATATAATGCATTGAAGTATAAATGAATTTACCTTTCCACACATAAGATAAAGAATGTTGCAAAAGAAATTACTCTTGCCTACTAGTTCCAAAGTGTTTCTCAGTACAATAATCCCAAAGAGAGATTTTGATCAGATAAATTTGAGAAATTTTGCAGACTGAAGACCAGGAATGCCAATATCACCTTGTTAGAGCATATGCAAAGTTTGATACGATTTGTTTGCCACAGCAGTTTTAGCTGAAGCAAATATGAAGTTCAAGTCCACAGCAGCTAGGTTAAACCAGTCCAGGGTTGTAAAGGCCCCAGAGCTCAAAGCCACCCCATCGTGGCCTAGGCCCAAGTTGTGTAAAACTCTGATACAGACACTTCAGAGAGATTCACAAATTATATTACTCTATTAAAAGTTTGGATAAATTCTACTCTTAGGAAAACAGTTTAATTCCTTTAGTTTTTATTTGTTTTGCTGTTTTTCTTTTTAATTTCAGCATATATTTAAAAAGTGTTTTGTTTAAATAAAACCTATTCTGGGAAAATATTTTAGAAATATTATTCTAAGGCAAATTACCTTTTTCTACAAGCTATAATCTTTATTCCTAACAAAAAGAAAGAAAAGAAAATATAAATAACATTTCATAGAAATATCTTTAAATCTAGAAAAATATTTCTTAATCACAAATTAATTATTTTTCATTTATTTATTTTTATTTTTTATTTTTATAAAGAAAAAATAAAAGAGAGCAAAGTCTACTTTTGTGGACTGAGTTAAGAGACCAGGGGACAGCATAACTGCAGTCCCCACCACCACAAATTATGCAGTTGAGTTTCCTACATTTGGGGAAATCGCATGGGTCAGCACATCCAGAGTGTAATGGATAAGCCTCTCCCTGGGAAAACCACCTTTGTGATCATAGTATCTCCACTGTTAGGTAAGTATAATCATAAATTCTGATAATTTTTCAAATCTACGAAGGACATTGGGTTAACTATAGAAAATTTAACTATGTCAAAGATAAAACAGCATAGTTTTAAATAGTTTTTTAAAGGCCTTTTCTTTGAAATTTTCTGTTTTCTTTCCTGTTAGAATACTGCTTTTTATCTCTAATGGATCCTTATTATATTACATAAAATTCCCACTGCATTCCAGATATTATGTAGTTGTTATTATTGGTGTGTTGAATATTTTCCACCTTCTGGAGGACAATATTTAATGTTCATTTATAGTATCTTGTTACAAAAATTTATATATTTTAAAATGAATGTATGATGACTGTGAAATTATTTAATACATATTTATATATGTAAAAATTTTATAACCAATGTTATTAGTGCAATTATATTAAATCACCATTTCTGGTAGTAAAAATAATATGCACAAATTTACAAATGTTATTTGCTTTACATGAGTTCCTACCATTTAGCTAAGTAAAATCTTTTAATTGATATTAAATGGAGAAATTTTTTAGTGACATAAATAATACTTAAAATGTTCACGGTTCTGCTAAGATTGCCATAGAAATAATACGTAAAATAGGGTGACTTGCTTTAACAGAACACTTGCAAGTGAAATAAGATTTTAGAGCAGAGTATTGCTAGAGTAGTTATTAAAAGACATCGAAGCAAAACCAAATAGGAAGAATTTATGCTCTTGAGTGCTTTGCTGAAATCCTTTCAGTCATGTTGAAGCAAGACAGAGTCTGTGCTTTTCCAGTTTTGTATCTCAGGTAAAACATAGCAGGGGGTGAAATGAATTCATCTTTCTGTCTTCAAGTAAACTAAAAGCAATTTTTGTCTTCCCATGTGGTCACTTGAGGTGCTTGTCATGTTCAAGCTAATGATATCAGGCACCCTCAGGTTGTTTAAGTATTCATGAAGTAATTAAATTCTCATTAACATATAAATAAAAGAAAACTGAAAACAAGTTTAGCAGGCACCTAACATCTGTTCTAATGCTTTTAAGTATTAAAATGTGCCACACAGAAGGAAAAGTGCATTCTGTTCAGGGAAGTATTTTGCATAGATTATTTATAGAAACTGTAATTAAACTGATTTGGCATATTAAAGAAAGTTAACAGGAGCACATTATTTAGATAGTTTGTTGTCTGTCACTTAAATAAGGAGTTAAAAATAGAAATCGGAAAAGTAAAATTAAGTTTCGTTTATTTTACATTTCAGAAAATATTATGAGTAATTGGAATTTATTTTCATTCTAAAATAAGATGGTTAAATTTTAGTTTATGCAGGTATATATCCAACTTTACAGCTGTACCCAAAAGTCCATTTCATTGCAAATTTTATAAAACGGTTTTGGTACTTGTCCAAATATTTCACTTAAACCCCTAAGTTTACCCTAATCACAGGTACAGATAATTTTCTCTTTATTGCTTTTATATATGGTTTTGTCAAATGGTAAAATGGAATGTATCGAAGGGAATCTGAACTTTCATTACTAGCCTTCTTGTTTACTTCTATTTTTTTTCATGCTATGTATTAACTGTTACAATTAAAAATTTTCCCAAAATTTTGCTGTTTCCCAATCATCTCAATAAAATTTGCTATTCAAATAGAATAAATTCACTTATTTTACCAAGAGTTCGATAACGGTAAGAAAATTAATTTTTTCTTCAACTCTTACAGCTTCTTAGAAAGTAACCCTATAATATAAGACAGATTTAAGGAGAGAAAGACAAACAAAACATTACCCATATTGTTGCATCTCAGAAAATAATACCCACAGAGTTTGTTGCTTTGGTATGCTGAACACCTTAAACTTCTATAGGATGGGTTTAGAATATGCCTGGAACTCAAAAATATTCTGACCTTTTCTGTTTACTCTCACCCCCGCAGCAGGGGCATTTGTCTCTGACCTTTCCTTACTAAGTTAAAACCACACCTATCACTGAAAATACAATTGCATTTTATCCCCTCCCTGAAATTTCACTATTTCAGGTAGAAGAATGAGAAATGTAATCACACCTGAACAGTTTGTCACAAGATATTGCCTGTCTCTCAGGCTCATTTAAATTCCAGAGAATCATTTAAAAAATGATGTCTGCTTCTTAGGTACATTTATTTTCTTTAAAATTTTCCTTCCCTCTAAAATTGCTTATAGTTTCCCACTACCCACTCCCCTCTCCCTTGTGAAAAGAGTGAAACTGCCTTTGTAAAATTATAGCTAAGGAAATTATGACAGTGAAAGATATCAGACCTAACCAATTCTATCTTGCTTGTAACTTCTAAACTGTCCTTATTCATTCTTGGGTGTAGGTCAAACTAGCCTTGGGAAGGTATTTAGTTTATAATTTAAACAGCAGTCCTTCCCAAAAGCTAAACTCTTCTTGTAAAATGAATGAAAGGCCACCAGCCACAAAGTAACGATTAGAGGGGCTGCAATTGCAACTGTTACCAACCATTATTCTAAAGATCATAAAATTTGCAACTTCTCCAATTACTCTTGAGGATAACGTCACTACTATGAACTTAATTAAGATTGGCCTGTCAAGATGTCTTTGCCAGTTACTGCATATCTAACAACCAGATAGCCCCATCTGGACCTGCCATCCAGTTCTGTGGCCCCCACCCAGGAACTGACTCAGCATAAGAGGACAGCTTGGACTCCCTATGACTTCATCCCTGAGCCAACCAATCAGCTCTACTGACTCACTGACCCCCTTACCACTTAAAAACTCTTATCTCTGAGTTTTCAGGGAGACTAATTTGACGAAAAATAAAACTCCAGTCTGTCACATGGCCAACTCTACATAAATTGCTTTTTCTTCATTTCAATTCCCCTGTACTGATAATTAGCTCTGTCTAGGCAGGGAGCAAGGTGAACCCATTGGATAGTTACAAGAGTGGTTAAGCTTCAATTAACTGGCCCTACTTTAACTCTCATATTTTGTGTGGCTCCTGTGCTTAAGCATGTTAATACATTTTTATCCCTTTTCTCCTGTTGATCTATATATTGTCAGTTTATTTCAGCAAACTCAATCACTTATAGGAAGAGGAAAAATTCTCTTTACCTGTATAACATATACATTTTATATATACAAAAGAGACACCCAGGGAATTAGGAATTACCAAAGAGATAGTTTTGAATTCCAGTTTATGTAGCATTTTCAACCTTTGTTCTTTAGTAGTAAATTTTTGCAGAAGTGACAAGAGAAGAGGAGAGGACTTGCAACTTTAGGGAAGACCAATAAATGGCAAATAAAGGCTAGTTAGTAAAGCCTGGTAATGTAGATTTTGCTAGTATCTTTTTCTAGTATCTTTTGCTAGCATCTTTTTTCAGATGATAAGCAGCTAAAGCTGTTTTCAGTGGTTATGATTTTTTCTCCCTTTTAGGAAGAACTTTAAATTATCTGAGGCTTGAGAGGAATGTGACTCTGTGGCCTGAGTCACATGGCATGTCACTGTAAATTCTCCTTTCACTTCCTTATTCTTGTATTGTAGATGATTAGGAAAGACTTGAAAGCACCTTAGAAAAGAGCACCCTTGAGTCTAATACCCCTTTATAAGTAATGATAAAGCAATCTTACTTGCAGTAAACTGTAATCAATCAAATCACTGTAATGTATGTATTGGCCTTGTGTAGAAAATGTTGCAATTCTGCTAAATTTCTCTATCTCTGCCTATATAAGTGAAATTGTAACTTTCCCACTTTGGAGCACTGACCCAATTCTTCTGGAGTCTTTGTTAGCTGCGTGGAGATCCTCAAGTTTTGCAGTTGAATAAATGCTATACTTAATTGTATTTTTTGAATCTCATTGTTGAAGGTTGACATCTTTCATCTAGGCAAATAGGAGGGTAGAGACCTTTCCTGCATCTGCTTATTCTTTTTTTTCCTTTCTTGGCCTCTTTTTTATGAGTATATTTTAAGTCCTGTGGTACGTGTGCAGATCAAGCAGGAGTGTTGCATAGGCATACACATGCCATGCTGGTTTGCTGCATCCATCCCCCATTATCTACATTAGGTGTTTCTCCTAATGTTATCCCTCCCTGAGCCCCCTACCCCTGCTATCCCTCTTCTAATACCCCCACCCCCCAAAAGGCCCCAGTGTGTGATGTTCCCCTCCCTATGTCCATGCATCCCCATTATTCAACATCCTTTTATGAGTGAGAACATGTGGTATTTGGTATTCTGTTCTTGTATCAGTTTGCCGAGAATGATGGTATCCAGCTTCATCCATTTCCCTGCAAAGGCCATGAACCCATCCTTTTTATGGCTGCATAGTATTCCATGGTGTATATGTGCCACATTTTCTTTATCCAGTTTATCATTGATGGGCATTTGGGTTGGTTCCAGGTCTTTGCTATTATATACAGTGCTGCAATGAACATATGTGTGCATGTGTCTTTATAGTAGAATGATTTATAATCCTTTGGGTATATACCCAGTATATATGGGATTGCTGGGTCAAATGGTATTTCTATATATAGATACTTGAGGAATCACCACACTGTCTTCCACAATGATTGAACTAATTTACACTCCACCAACAATGTAAAAACATCCCTATTTCTCCACATCCTCTCCAGCAACTGTTGTCTACAGGTTTTTTAATAATTGCCATTCTAACTGGCATGAGATGGTGTATCTCAATGTGGTTTTAATTTGCATTTCTCTAATGACCAGTGATGATGAGGTTTTTTTCATATGTTTGTTGGCTGTATAAATGTCCTCTTTTGAAAAGTATCTGTTTATATTCTTCACACACTTCTTGATGACATTGTTTGTTTCTTGTAAATTTGTTTTAGTTCTTTGTAGATTCTGGATATTAGCCCCTTATCAGATGGGTAGGTTGCAAATTTTTTTTCTCATTCTGTTGGTTGCCAGTTCACTCTAATGATTGATTCTTTTTCTGTGCAGAAGCTCTTAAGTTTAATTAGATCCCATTTGTCTATTTTGGCTTTTGTTGCCATTGCTTTTGGTGATTT